TATATTTACATCTTATTTTTCACGGCTCACCACCTTGTATTGACCCGCATAAGCTCCGACACTGCCTCCTCCCTCATCCGCCTTATCTCCATTTTTGTAGTTTTCCATTTTACCCACAATGCCCTGCAGCGCCTATATCCCTCTTAACTACTCCCCGGTTCCTTCTTCTGGGGCAGTATAGCATCCGTGAGCAATGACGACTCTTAGATCTGCTACTGAGCCAGAGAATAAAACGAAACTACAAAACTGCTGTTGTGTGATCCTCGGTCCTCTCTTAACTAATGATGGCCAGAGTTGGGTTGTACTCACTTAGATATACTTGAGTAACTTTTAAAAGAAACTGTACTTTTCAGAGAACTTTTCTAGCAGCAGACTTACAACTTGAGTAATAATTGTGGTAACACTTGAGTAAAACTATTGATTACTCTTCCCAACAGGCCCGTCTACAGAATTTTGGGGGACCGGGGCAAGAGGTCTCACATGGGTCCCACTCTGATAATCATTAATAGGAAGAGGATCCATTTCTGGCCCCCTAAAACCCTGGGGCCCGGGACAACAGACCTCTTTGTCCCCCCAAACCCTCTACTGCCCTGCGTCCCACTGTGAGTACAAGTGACAAAAGCTTTATGTTGACAATATAAAATGATTTGAATGTTTGTATTTTTGCACCGCTCCTTGAGAAATAATTTCGTTTTTCAAATTTTTATGTCTGTACTTTGAAAATACCAAATTTTGTGCATTATTTCATTCTTTCTCCTTCAAATTACATTAACATTCATTTACAAATCAAATGTTACATCTTGACAGTTACTCTTTAAAGGTGCACTGTGTAACTTTTCTGACAATCTGCTCGTCTCCATGGAGATGTTGATGCTTTGTCTGAAATGTTCCGGCATGGCATTAAACATATCTATCTTGCATTTACTCGATAACATGGGTTTTTATTGACACAAAAACTTGCATTCTTATTGTGAGTGGGCTCGCCGCTCCACAGATCTGACTTGGAAGCTTGGCTTTAAGGTGTCACCGTAGAGATAAATAAGTGTAATGCCATACTGTGGAACATTCCAGGCAACATCTCTATGGAGAGAAGCAGGTTGCAGGTTGCACCTTTCAGTTACTTGAGTCGTAGTTTCTCCAAATACTTTTTACTCTTGCAGGACTAATTCTTGGGCCACTACTTTGTACTTCTACTTGAGTAATATCATGTTAAAGTAACGTGACTCATACTTATAGTAAGAGTAAAATTTTTGGATTCTCTACCCACCTCTGATGATCAAAAAGATCAAAAACCAACAACACTGCACCCTATTACAGAGCAGGGACAAATATAGAACATTGCTTCATGGAGGATTAAGCTCTATAGAAACCACCGGAGAGACAGAAAGCAAAGGAATAAAACGCGAAACTAGCCCCGCCGGACACAAATAAGAACGGTGTGAGGAAAAAGTAGCTGGAAAAATGGTGCAGCTTCGGATGAGACCAAAGACTGGAAAAAAGCGTAGAAGTCGGGGAGGCTGTGAAGGACACGGTGACATATTGCGTGTAATGATTTCTTGGTTTTGTTATTTGGTTTTCTCTGCGGGGACAGAGCAGAGGAAGGGAAGAGGTAAGGTCCAATTTTCAGCAAAGGAGCACAAACTTGTTCCTGGCCCAAATAAAGTAGTCTGAAGGTGGCACTATGACTTTGCACTGTGCTAACAAATAACCTGTGAAAATAGTGTGTGGAATTACTATGGCTTCCTTTCTTGGCTCAGTTTACGCTATTTTCTGATCTGTGTTATAATATTTCCTCATCCAAAACATTCCAGGAGTTTTGTTTTTGTTTCATTAACACATTTAACTCACAAATCCTGCATATTTAAGATGAGTTGAAGGAAGTGCTCCACTGTGTTTTGAAACTTCATACACCTTCACTAGAATCATTTGGATCATTTCAGCTCTGGAATTGCCAATCTTAACTGAACTAAAGGTAAAATGTAGCTGTTAACTTGAAAACTACTGCTTCATGACATCACCAGCTGGAACAGAGCATTTTGAGCATTTACTCAGACATGTGTGAGTGAAACAAAACACAACTCTGAGCATGTTTTTGATGAGGTAACATTCTATCATGGTTTAAAGCTCACAAGAGAATTTGTTTTCAAATTTTCCATGTATCTGAGCAGCTCTTGAGGTCAAAATAAGACCCCATCCACACTAATACATATTCAAGTCGTTTTCTTTGCAGATGCAGTGTTATCCACATTAATCCGATGGAAAATGGCTCCAGAGACGGAACGATCTGATGCCGACAGCTCCCACGAATTCTGATCTGTCACTGCGTGGACACCTGAAAACGCTGATACGCTCATGTCACTGTGACTTGCGCCTTCCTGATTCGCTGCGTTCGTCGGTCTGTCAGCGGTCATGTGACACTACTGCCGAAAACATTTTAAACAAACCATAGACAAATGGGAAACAGCATAGCTAGAACTACTTGCTAATACACGATTTAAAAAAAGATGCTTTCCATCTTCTTTGGCTCGAAATCAGCTGCTGCAACTTACTAGCGTTTCAGGCAGTTTCACGTTAGAGGGCGAAGTATAGTTCTATAGATCTATGTGTATGACCTGCAGATGTATAATTTCTGAAAAGTTTAACATGAACTATCTCCAATGCGATAGAAACACAGAACAGACTCACCATTAGCAGAACACCCCTCACAGAAAGAACACTCATATTCCACTGAGTCTAGTCCTTTTTAATCCGACAGAAGCTGAACACCGTCAGAGCACAAGAAGCGAGCTGTTTTTTGAGCACTTGAAAATGCGGTTTTAATTTTCGTTTCTGTAAAACGTAAACAAATATGCGTAAAGCTGTGTGGATAAGAAAGCCTTGTGGACACAGAAATTATGTTTCCGATACAGTGATACGGTGATTTGTTTCAGTGCAAACGTAGCCTAAATCTGCTGTGTAGTGTCTGCATCTGATAATTAGGAAGTGCGCAGTTAGCATACTAGTGACTGTTAGCTTTGCTGTCATAACAAAACTCCACTCTGATCTTTGAGAGTTGTAAAATGCACCACATATCTATCTATCTTCAACTTTGTGCAAAGGATTTTAAGTACAAATGTAAGGCTTTTCTATATAGGTCAGTGCAAGAAATAGGGACGGTCAGTGTCCATATTTCACCTAAACTTCTCATTTTTATAGTTTTGATCTAATGAAGCAGAGATGTGTGGAGTCGTTCATTTATTTGGTTTTGTCCCCGTTTTATATTTTAGGAATTTCCACCTCTTGATTCTTGAGTCTGTCGGATTTTAACAGATGGTTCCTTTTGGCTGCTAATGAGAAGCTCCATCGGCTCTGCTCATGACCTGTGGAGATAGCGGCCTGCTCAATATGCTGTTTATTTTTATCCTCCAGTTCCACTATTTTACATTTTTACTTTTGATTTGCAGACAAAAAATATTCTGAATGTCTTATAAGGGTAGAGAAGCAACCAATTGGCTCCTCTGGATTCGCTTGTGTTCGGTTTCCATGGTTTCATATTGACTTACATTCATTTCCTGGCAACTGACGCTAACTTTTACAATAATTACTACTTATCTAATCTTAATTTGAAGCCTAATCTTAAATGAAAATAACCCACATTGTAACTTTAAGCCATGTTGTTGATCTAATACTGAAATAATTACAATTTGGGGACAAGATTTTTGGTCCCCACAAAGCAAAACGTTGAAGTGACAAGTGTGAATCGAAAAGTTTCAGTTGGGATTTTTTCCATAGCGATTAACAATTTAAAACATTAAATTACAATATTGGATCTTTTAAATAGGTAAAAGTTTTCAATATGTCAGATTTCAGTCCCAACTATGATGAATGCCTGTCCAAAACTAGGACTAACCTGGAACAAAAACTAAACTAGATCAGGACTAAACCTGGACTAGAACAGGACTAAACCAAGTCTACAGCAGGACTAAGCTAGATTCTAAACAGAACCAAACCAGCATTAATTTAACTATAATATTTAACTATATACACATGAATCTAGAAATTGTTGTGACAGATCTTTATGCGCGTGATTAATACCTGCCTACCGCATCACCAAAACTGCAACAAGACCTTTAAGTAAACCAGGACTAGATCAGGACTAAACCAGAACTAGATCAGAACTAAACCAGGTCTACATCAGGACTAAACTAGGCTCAAAATAGGACCAAACAAGTACTAATCTATGCAGAAAAAATCATAGTGACGATGGATGTGAGTACAAATATCAATGGCCAATACCTGCTCACCACATCACCAAAATTGGGACTAAATCCTCAACTAAACCTGGACTAGATCAGGACTAAACCAGGACAATAACAGCACCAAAACCAAGTCACTACAGGACTAAACTAGGCACAAAACTAGGACCAAACCAGGACTAATCTAAGTATGTGTGCAGCTATTGTAGTGAAGTTGCACATAAATCCTTAACTAAACCTGGACTAGCTCAGGACTAAACCAGGACTAGAACAGCACCAAACCCAAGTCACTCCAAAACTAAACTAGACCCAAAACAGAACTAAAGCTAAACACTAACACTAAATCTATTTAAGCAAGTACGCAGCTAGAAGTTGTACGCTTGTAAAAGAAAAGATACACACTCGACAAGATGGTAGACAGGCACAGTGGGACTAATTGATGTCATCTTAGAAGTCAAGAAAAAAAAATAAAAATTTATATATGTATAAAAAAATGCTGTCCTTAAGACCTGAACACCTCATCTCTCTGGGGAGCCGGTAAAAGTGTCTCAAAGTTCATATCTCCTGCCACCTGTACAGTAATTGTCCTCTCTTCAGTGACTTCAGGATTACAACCGACCGAAACATGCAAATGAGGATGTGAAAATTGGCTGCCGAAAAGTCAAGTGCTGCAAATATCAAAGTTTGACAAGGTGCGTGTGCCATTTCCATAATAAGAGTGAGGCTGGGGTGAGGCGGGAGTGAGGCTGGGGGCTGGTGGTGTACCTGGTAGTGCATGAGGGTGTTGAGGCGTTTCCAGTCGTTTTCGATCTTGGTGGTGATGTCCTCGTCCTGTAGAACCACACGGGCCATTCTCCCCTGACGCCACTCTGCAAAATAAACACCCTTTGTTAGATGATACACATACTTAAAAAAATGCCATACAGTGCATTATATAACATGAAATACTGAAAAACTAAATATCTGTGACTGTGCTTGTACGGTGTGACCTCGTTTTAAACTTATTTGACAGCATGTTGGCAAAGTGTCCAGTAGTTCCTCTGTGGGTTCTATTTTGCCTTTTGCCAATGATGCTGCAAAAAGATCCAGCACTCCCTCATAGCAGCACTATTACAAATTTCAATGAGGCTGACATATTCATATTTTAACGGGGCCATTGTAAGTAATAATGCTGTTTCATCCTCAAAAAACATTCCTGGAGTTTTGTTTTGCTTCATTCACACATTTCACACACAAACCCTGCAGATTTAGTTCTTCTCTCAAACGAAAAACACCTTCACGAGAATCATTTGGATAACTTCAACTCTGGAAATTGCCAATCTGTACTGAAGGTAAAACTTAAAGACAGTTAACTTGAAAACTACCACTTCTTTAACCTGATTCTTCAGCTGGTTTCACTTCGTGGAAACCGTCTGACCTCGCTGCATTAGGATTTGTTCGCTCGACGGTAGGCGGGTACTTTTTAAAATTTAATCAGTCGCTGCTATTTGGTCGTGACGTATGTAATGCTCCGTTAATGAATTAAGCTTTTCCCAAATCCCATAGGAAGAAGGACAATAATGACTTTCCCCTTGATAAAATTCACCAAACATTCTCTTTGTTCCGGCTTTAAATCCTCGATCTTGTGAATCGTTGCCAACACAGAATGTATGGCTTTGTCTACATCCATCTCAACCGCTTTGTTTACTGTTGTGCTGTAACACAAAAGGGACCCAGTCATGGCTTCACAGCTCTTCGCTGATTGGCCGGTGTGCGATCTACAACTTCTGTGATTTTTGCAAAACGTCTAGTGTATTCTGATTCCTGACCTAGTCGCTGGAGAGAAATGAAATTGAGTGGAGGCACTAGAAGGCACCAGCCTGGCTACCACTTCATGACATCACAAGGCGAAATACAGCGTGGAGCATGCAGACATCTAATAATAATTCAGGATTACTCAAACGTGTGAATGGAAAAACACAACTCCCAGTATATTTGAATGAGGTTACATTAACATGGCTTAAATGTAATGTACGTGCTTTCATTAACAAACACATTCATAATAAAATGATCTCTATAACCATGATTGCTGTAAGGTTCTCCAGGGGTTGAGCTAGGCTTGGCCAGGACTTGTATAGCTGGAAGACTTATTGTGCAGATTTTGTGAAGTTAATAATTATGTAGAAGGACAGTTTAGTACCCATCTGTTTCACAATACCACATTTGGAAGTGGCCTGCATGAATTACAAGTCTCAATTCGAAATGATTGGTACTGGTCTGAGTAAAGTCTTTATAAACAGGCAAGCTTGCAAACTCATTTAAAAGCTGACGTCATACTTTAGCAATTCTTGTCAGAACTCCAGCACTATGAACTCCGCTCTGTTTTCCCATTTAAACTATCACATTTACAAAGCAATTTAGTTACACACAGACCCAACCCACTACATGCGCTTTGAATCCGCCAAGATACTACTCCACAATCTTCTATCTTTCAGAACAAGTTACCTCGCTGGAGCCAAATTGCCTGCCCCTATCCTCTCCCACCCCCCCTCCCCTCCACTTCCTACTTTCTCCTCTTTCAAACTTGATTTTCCTTTCACTGCGCTAACACAGCATCTTACCCAGAAGCCCTTTCGAATGCGCCCTCGACATTACCATTACCTAGACAAGCACATATCAAGCGCGTGCATTCGTCACGCTGTCTTCGATTGACGTGCATCTCAATTAAAGATTACACACGAACAATTTCGAGAAGTATATGCGGACGGGCGGTGAACTTTAATTGGTACTTGTGTGGTGCGAAATTGCGAGCCATTAGCATACGCAGCGGGGTGAGTGGAGAGAGGGAGACAAGATAAAAAGGCCAACTATGAGAAAATCACACCCTTTCAGTTTGAGAAAAGGTAGGAGGGAGCAGGTGGAGGACTCATGCAGGGTGCTGTTGTAGCTTTGGGGTTGGTGTCTAGTGATTGAAGGTAATGAATTGGTAATAAGGAGTGGAGATGTGGACGGCTTTGGCAGGGTGCATGCTGGGAGTGATTATTGATTGCTGAGCTGTTGACTGGCTTTGTTAGTCTGTTCATTGGGTAGGTGACCATGCATGGGGTATCCAGGGGCCCCTAAGATAGGAACGCCAAAGTGGAGGAACAAGCGTAGACAGGCAAACACTCAATTATGTGAACGGTATCAAGGATAGAGGGAAGAGAAGGAGGGAGGCGGGAGAGTGAGATATTGAGGAGTGCTAGACAGAGTACTACAGGAAAAGAACACTTTTAGTAACACAGCAGCAATGGCGCAGCATTAGGTGGTGCAGCCGGTGGCCGACGACACTTTGAGGGCCCATTGCGGGCTAGGATTGGCCCCCCCCCCTTTACAGACTCAGTATAAATGGCTGTTAACATAAACGATGCATACACAACTGCAAATTATACTATATCACACTAACAGGGTTGGAGTGCCAGACTTGCACCGGGGCTTTACAACTACACTACGGCAGAGCAGTGAGCAGTATTATCAAATGTGTGCTAACCTTCTTTTGCTACTAAAATCCTGTTTTGAAAGACTTGACATGTTATATTATACATATAGAATTGTAGCAGTTAAAAAATGTATAGATTGAAAAGGCTCAGACTGAATTATTCCCAGCAGGACAAATATTATACAGCACGGCTATAAGCAACATGACTATACTGATAGATGCTTTGTAATCAAGCAACCTGAGTGAATGCTCAGACTGTACCTGGAGCAGCTGTGACTCCAGTGTGGGAGTGGTTTTGTTTGGTGTGACTGTCAGACGTGCTCTGCTGTGCTGTTGTACTCACTGTATTTGAAGTTGCATGTGTGAGACCTCATGTTCATAATGAACCTTTAATTAAGGGAAAAGGCTTGTGGCTGGCCTCGGCGATCAGCCTAAATATACTCCCAACAGAAAGAATTTGGAGCACCAGTGTCCTCTCATTACTTTGAATTATTCTGAATACTTGTGGGCCACTGCACCAGAGTGTGTTTGCAGTCCAGGGTAAGGGCTGATATTTAGAACATACTCTCCAGAAATGTGTTTGAGTTTCACAGGTGACTGTAGCAGAGTCACAGGTAAATGTGACTAAGGGTGCACTCCCACTAGGACTTTACAACAGTGCCCAGGCATGGCTCACCCAACGTTGGCTCATGTTCGTACACACGCACAACTTTACTATACAAGCGCTAATATGTTACTCATACAGGGCTTGTATAGTAGCTCCAAAACACATAGCAAACAGACAGACGTTTACCTGCCTCTCGTGTCCGGCTGTCATCGCTGCTTCACACTGTTTTTATATCCATAAACTCACGGAGGAGTGCAAATCATAAAAGGATGCACTTCAGCCTCACTATTTAATAGATATTTCTGCTGCTAATAGATATTTCCTCAGCTAAAAGCGTTAGCACATGTAAAAAAACAGCGCAGTGTGCTGACGTCATCAGCCATGGCCCGGTTTGGATGTGCAAGTGTGAGTGCTGGCCATCCTAGAGTGAGTGCACCCTAAATAACGTCATGCCAATAATGACAAGACTGTGTATGTTACCCAGGTCCATGTCGACGGCGCGTGGCCTCTGGGAGTACGGCATGTTCTTGTAGACAGCATCCAGTATCTTCTCTTTGACCTGAGTGATGGTGTCACAGTTCAACACTTTCACTGGGATCTCAGGGCTGTTCTCATTGTCTGGGTTCACACAGTTCAGAATCTGCATCAAAGGAGACAAGAGAGAAAGGTACAAGATATATTTAGACATTTGTACATGTATCTGTACATTGCCATGGATTTATTTATAGGACGTCTGTACAATGTGTCAGCGCTGGGCCGTATAGAATCAGTTATGATGTATGGTTGTCTCAGAGTGATATGAGAGCTTGTTCACATGTATAGTTTTTATCGCCTCTGTATCAGAAAACCAGCAATACTTCACCAGAGAGGCTAGATTAAACGTGTATTTACATTTAGGCTTAGCCATACCACCTTGAGCAAGTCTGATCTGTCTGATTTAAGAAGCTAAGCAGGGTTCAGCCCGGTGAGTACTTGGATGGAAGACCACTGGGAATACCAGGTGCCTTTGTGTCCTTAGGCAAAACACTTTGCCCACCTTGCCGAGTATGAAAGTGGTAAGAGAGTGTTTGGTCGTTGGAGGGGCCAGTGCCGCAGATTGGCAGCCTCACTTCAGTCAGTCTACCCCAGGGCAGTCGTGGTGACAATAATAGCTTACCACAACAGAGCATGGAGTGAATAAATAATGCACTGTAAAGCTCTGGGTGGTTTGAAAACTGTTATATAAATCCATTGCATTATTATTAAGTGGGTTGAATATTACTATAAACAGAAAGTGCGAGCCTGAGCTATTTCACAGCCATCAAAATAATGCGTGTACAACTCAGCTATTTACTCCCTACTGCACTAAATCTCAAGGAGAAGCATGCACAGTGTCTACTTATGCATGTCTGAAATGAATTCTTAAGTGTTAAAAGAGCTGTACATGTGATTTCTACCGTTTTACAATGTGAGAAACAGAACTCATTCATTTTACAGTTTGTAGTGGTCCAAGCTTATTCCTCAATTAACTTATTCATTCCGAGCATCCTAATTATTCACTGTGGTGAGTTTATAAGCACTACATTTTGATTAAAGGGTCTATATTACACTATTTTCTTCATGTTATAATGTCGTATCTTCATTAAAAACAGACCTGGAGTTGTGTTTTGTTTCATTCACATGCGTTTGACACAAAAATCCTGCATATTTAGGCTGAGTTCTTCTCTCAAACACCTTTACTAGAATCATTTGGATAATTTCAGCCCTGGAATGACCAATCTCTACTGAATAAAACATAAAAGGTAGCTGTTACTTGAAAACTAGTGCTTCCTCGAACAGAGTATTTTGAGCTTTGGAGATATAGACAGACTAATGATTGTGTGAATAAATCAAAACACAACTCCAGGTATGTTTTGATGAGGTACTAACGTTCTAACAAGAGTCAATTTTGCGTAATGTAGGAGTTTTAAATACATATAAATAATAAACACAAAAAATCTGGTACAGGGTTTTTAATTTGATGACACCCTCTTATGAAAAACCTCCAAATCCGCATAAGAAGATCACTAATTTCTGTGTTCGAACCAAAACTTGGGTCAGTTTTAGTCTGCTCTCATTAGCGTCTCCCAGGAGCATGGCAGGAGCTCAGTGAAACCATTTCCGCTCTCTGGCTCTCCCCAAATCTAATTTCACACCTTCGGCGGGACACCAATTTCCAGCTCTGTCGGGGCATTAGCGCGTAATGAGCCAAAGTCACAGGCAGTGCAATCAGAGCGGAGTCATATCACATGCTTTCACTACAGACTGGTGTACAGATATGGGCTCCTCCACTCTGCCTCCTGCCTCAAGTTGGACCAACAATGGAGACGGCAGGATCATTTACTTAATTGTATTTCACAAAATGACACCACACGCGGCTTTGAGGTTTTTGGGAGAAGTTCACAAAAGCAAAGAGCGAACTAAATGTACTCTGTGAAGATATTACAAAACGCTGCTGTAAGTTGTAATTTCTTTTACTGTTGCCTTGTGGCTAGAGTGTGCCTACATAATGACTGCAAATGTCACTGAAGGCAATAAAATACAACTCTATCTTCGGCAATGGCTCAGCTGGTAGTGGGGAAGATTGGACATAGATCTTGTCATTGTGTCCCTGGGCAAGGCATTACGTGGTTTGCCCCGAAGTGACTGTACTTGGGATGTAACAACAAACGAAATATCTAAGGGAGTGCAAAAACATTGAAATATCGGTATATCATATCGTTTAACGTGATGATACAGTATAGATATCGTGGGCTGCTGTATCAATATATCAATATATATAGTGTTTTTGGTATTTTTTACTAAATTATTTTGTTACAGCTCTAGAGTTTTGTTGCGTGTTTAGTGGAAGGAAACTCGTTTATGCAACATATTTGATATTTTCACTGTTTTGGTGATTAAAATGTTTGTGTTTTATAGGAACTTTGCACAAGAAGTGGTTTAACAAAGACTTTTAGTATCACAGCCATGATTTAGCCATTATTTTTTATTGAAATGTATCGAATCAATTTGAAATATATCGTACTGAATCGTATCAAATCGAAAGAGCACTGTATCGGCAACTTCTTAATGATACACAGCCCTAGAAATATCCTGATATCGTATGGTCAAAAGTCTCACAATAATATCACGGCCTATCACAATATATCGAATCACAAGCTCCTTTGCTTAAATGCATGGTTTTATAGTAGCAACAGCTTATAAACATAGAGAACTACATATCCCATGATTCATTTCAGCACAGACAACATAAAGAAATATGTTTTTTACTTGAATTCTTGGGATTATGACGGAAATAATTCACACTAAAATCTTGTCAAGGCATTTTAAAAGCAAAAAAGTGTCCTATTTACAATATACTATCCTCTTCAAAATAAAATATCGCAATAAATATCGTATCGTGAGATGCATATCGTGATAATATCGTACCGTGACAATTGGATATCGTTACATCCCTAGACTGTACATATTGTTTTGGTTTTCTCTAGCTCATACTGTATATTAAACAAGCAGCTCTAATTATGAAATGTTTTCTTCTCTGGGAATCAGGAAGTGCACTGTTATCATGCTAGTTGTTGTTAGCATCCCAGTGACGGCCAAACATTGCTTCGAAACCACTCATATTTCTCAAGCAAACAGTTTCTAAAGCTGCTGCACAAATACATACTTATGACAACAATAATAATAAAATGAAAAAAAATAAATGCTCAGATTGAATCATACTAGTTCCAAAACAATAAAACAAGTAAAATAAAATATGAGCAAAACCATAGAATAGAAATAAATAATGAATAAAACCAATAATATACATTCAAAAATAAAAATAAAAAGACACAGAGGACTACACAACTCATGTAGTGTTAAAAACTAGAGAATAAAGATGAGATTTAAAACTCGCCACTGCTTAGACTGTTTGGACGTGAGGGGGCAGAGCGTTCCAGAGTTTAGGGCCAGCCACAGAAAAGGCCCCGTCCCCCCCTGGTTTTAAGTCTCATCTAAGGCACCACGAGCTGGAGCTGGCCCTCGGACCTCAGAGCACGCGAGGGGATGTAAATTTGTAGGAGGTCCGAGACGTACTGTGGGGCCAGTCCATTCAAAGCTTTAAAAACAAACAATAAAATCTTAAAATCAACTCTAAAATGAACAGGAAGCCAGTGCAAAGACGCAAGGATTGGGGATATGTGCTCTCTTCTTTTGGTTCCTTCAAAAGTTGTTAAAAGCCGTTATAAACTTATTGCAGTCACTAATTAGGATGCTAGCAATGTGTTAGGAAAGCGAGGAATAACTTTGGACCACTGCAAATGGTTTAAAATGAAGTAGGTCTGTTTTTCACGTTTTTAAGACAGAAAAAAATGTGATCGTGAACAGTCACTATTCATATTTATTCCAATATTCCACCACATTAGAGTCTCCATCTGACATACCCCCCGTGTGCTTTCTTGAGTGTTTTCTTGTGTGTGTTTTGTAGTGTGTTTTGCAGTGTCCGTACCAGCGTCTTGTACTCGATTTGCTGGCGGATGAGCTTGTCTTCGCTCAGGGAGTAGCGGGCCTCTCCGGTGATGGCGTCGATCGGACCCTTCTCCATCTGCTGCTTGATGGCGCAGTACAGCATGAACAGAGGCTCCCCGGCACAGTCCTGACACACACAGAAAGAAAGAGATAGAAACTCATTTACTCTGCACAACAACAAGTCTGCAGAAAACTAGTTACATTTACACTAGTACATTTACTTTTACAGGTCCTACATTACGCAAAATTGCCTCTTTTGTTACCTCGTGTTGTTACCTCATCTAAAACCTGCAGTTGTGTTTTGTTTGAGTAAAACTTTTTTACATTATTGGTCTGCCTACATCTTGAAAGTTCAAAACCCTCTCCAAATCCACCTTGTGATGTCATGAAGCGATAGCGTTGAAGTTAACATTAGCAATTCCTGCTCTTAAACTACCTAAATGATTCTAGTGGATGCATGTTTTTCATGAGGTAACAGTAAAGCATACATTTAAAAAAAAATAGCACAATATGAGCCCTATAAGTACAGATATTTTAATTTAACTTCTTTTAACTGCTACTTATAAATGTTCTCTAACCTTATTGAATGTTTTATTTATTCTTCTTCAGTTCTGGTCAGAATGCTGGTGGACACTTTCTTATATCTGTCTGCAGGGAGGAGCTAACTAACTACTCTGAAACTAACACACCTACTTGTTTAAAGTTTCTGTTAGTTATGCCTATTGACCTGTACAGAATGTGGGGTCTAATTATCATAACAATTCATGGCCATAATGGTGCTCCCTCAACTCTGGACTTGACCTGGCTACACCTATTGCTCTCTTGTTTGCTTTGAATTAGGTTTGAGGATGGAGTTGTAAATATTAGACAGATGGTGCTTGAGTCCTCCATTTCTGTTTAGAGAAGGATTGTCTTTCTTAACACAAATAGCTTCTTTCTCAAACCAATTCATTTCTCTGGCCAAAATCTGTACCTCACTGTCCTCAAATGAGTGGCCCGTGGCTTTAAAGTGGAAATGTACAACAGACTGAGGTCCACTGCTGCTCTCTCATCTGTGTTGGTACATCCTCTTGTGCAATAGCTGTTTAGATTCTCCAATGTAGCGTTCACTGCAGTCTTCACTGTACTGAATGGAGTAGACCACATTGCTTTGTTTGTGGCTCAGTGTTTTGTACTTTGGGTGGACCAGTTTCTGTCTTAGAGTATTCGTAGGTTTGAAATAGACTAAGTTTTCCAGTGACAAAAGCTCTATCTTGATTTTAATGAATGTGACCTTTTGTATTCTTTGTACTTTTTTCTCATATATGATTTGCTGTATTCTAGTTTCTGCTTTATCCTTTGATTTTGTGCAACATTTAATGTTTTGTCCTTGATTACAACTTCAGCTTCCACTTCCAGACTGTTCTCTTATTTAGGGATGTGATGCTGGTATCATTATCGACCGCTACTAAAGGAATTATTTTGAATATCATCTTGGATTAGATTAAAAGTGCTTACACCTGGATCATCTTAAACACTGACTGAGGAGGCTCTGATAAATTAGATTACAAATTTAAAAATTTATCTGGTAATTTTCTTGATATTTTGAAGAAACAATTAGAATTTTCACAATCAGATCTCCAGTCTTGCTGTGTTGTTGAACTTACCTTGAGGAACTTGTGAAGAAGGAAGGCAAACCAGTTGGTGAGCATCTTCTCTGCCACAGACTCAGTCCTGTAAAAACACAGAAAAACACCAAACTCTTATTTCTGGAGCATGTTCATTATTTTATCATATTTGTCTTTAGAGATTTCTCCTGGTGGTATCGCCTCAAACCATGTGATCACAGTGAAGGGACCATCTGTGATCATGTAAACGATTGTGTGGCAGAGTGCGCGTCAGCCAGTCTATAGAAGCGTATATGAGAGGAGACATTATACAGAGCATGTGTGGATTGAGCCTGTCTATAGGAGCGTATATGGGAGGAGAGTATATTATGTGTGTGTGTATTCACGAGTGGTTAAACACAGCAGGACGTCAGCAGCAGTGACAGGTCTCAGCTGTTTGGGGAGATGAGCGCGGTCACAGCCAGGTAACGCCGGATCACCTCTTACCCCATTACACCTTTCATGGAAGACAGAAGTGCCTGTTAAAGGAACAGTCCAGAATTTTGGACATAGAACTTCATTTCCTAGTGAGCCAGAGTGTTGGAGACGTGTGGAGACACTTTTTAAAATATTCCAGCCACTAAAAACAGTCTTACCCACTCCACAAAACACCCGAAGCAAAACAATTATTACGCCAGACAGTTGATGTAAATGTTTGTGTTGATTAGGGCTGGGTATCATTAAGAAGTTGCTGATACGATACATACCTCGATACATAAGCCACGATATGATACTTATCTCGATACAGTGCATATGATATATTTCAAAATGATTTCGATACAGTTCAATAAAAAATAAAAGCTAAATCATGGCTGTGATACTAAAAGTCTTTGCTAAGCCACTTTTTGTGCAAAGTGAATATGAAACACAAATATTTTAATAATCAAAACAGTGAAAATATCAAATGTGTCGCAAAAACGAGTGTCCTTCCACTAAACAAGCAACAAAACTGTAGCTCTGTAACAAAATAATTTCATAAAATATACCAAAAATACTCTTGACGATATATCGATACAGCCGTCCACAATATTGATACGTATCATCACATTAAATTATACAATATACTGATATTATGATATTTTTGAATACCTCTAGTACTGATAGCATAATTTTATTAGTAAAACCAACCTTGCATTTGAAGGATTTATGTCTGAGCAGCAACAGTGAGTTGTACTTCCTGATAGAAAGTTTGGCAGCGGCGGACTGATATCACCTAGCACCTATCTTACCGGCAAATTAAAATTCCTCTGCTGCTGAGAAAATAGTCCCTCAACCTGCGCCGATTCATGTGCTGCAAGGTTAGTTTTATTTCAAACATTATTCAATCAACACAGACATTTACATCGACAGTCTGGTGTAATAACAGATTTGCTTCGGGTGTTTTATGGAGTGGGTAAGACTGTTTTTAGTGCCAGGCTAACTATGGCCATTGACATGCACTAGCCTAGCGACCTCTGCAAATACAAGGACTGGATGGAATATTTTAAAAAGTGTCTCCACACATCTCCAACACTCTGGCTCAATGAGGAAAAATGAAATGAGGTCCCATGTCCAAAATTTTTTTGACTTTTAAGATTACTTTTAAGGTGCACTATGTAACCTTTCTTATGGTGATGTTATGGTGTTAAACTTCTTAACTTCTTGAATTGCTCAAGATCTGTGGAGAGGCGACGCCGCTCATTGTTAGAATTTTTCTATATTTTTTCTTAGCAAGATAGAAAAGTTGAATTACATACTGTTGAACACTACTTTCAGAGAAATGCTATTTCTATAGACACAAACAGAAAAAGTTACCTAGACCACCTTTAAAGCAAGTCTGATATCTAAATACTAAAAATAATATAGTTTAAAAATAAAACAAAATGTAATTTAAGCCATATTCTTTTTTACAGTGCTGCCTCTCCTCTCTGCCTCACCGTCAATCATATTTAGAGTGGCTGAAGGAGTCGATTGGCCGTGAAAACACACACAAGAGCGACGCCACCCTCCTGTCTCCTCTTCCACCTCAAAGCACACGAGCGGACACACTTCTCCCGTGTCTCCCATCCCACCGCACAACTCCACTAGAGCCCGAGGTCATTAGAACCAAGACAGAGGAACAGAGGAACAGAGGAACGGAGAAGCAGAGAAGCTGAGGACATGAGTCAGGTGTGCAGCGGAGAGACAAACAAACCAGGCGAGAACGGGAACGCTTAATGAATGTGAAAGATGGATGAAACAAGGGGTAGTTCTTCTGGAGATCTTCTGGACGAGGGCAGAAGAAAAGATGGAGATGCAAAAAACAGCTTGGCTTTTCTTCTTAAAATGGTCCTACACAAATGCTGACTTAAGTTTAAAGGTCCTATATTACGGAAAATTGACTCTCGTGAGCTTTAAGATATGTTGTTACCTCATCAAAAACATACCTGGAGTTGTGTTTTGTTTCATTCACACATGTCTATATATTTCCAAGATTCAAAATGCTCTGTTCCACCTTGTGATGTCAAGATTTCAAGTTAACCCTTTACCTTTTGTTTAGTAGAGATTGGCAATTCTAGGGCTGAAATGAATCCAACTGATTCTAGTGAATGTGTATAGAGTTTAAAAACGCAGTGGAGTACTTTCAGTATTACCGCATGACATCACAAGGTGGAACAGAGTGTTTTCAGTTTGAGAGAAGCAAAAAAAGCAGCCTAAATATGCAGGATTTGTGTGTTAAACATGTGCGAACAAAACAAAACACAACTCCAGGTATGATTTTTCTGAAATTCTAACATGGGTTAAAGCTCACAAGAGTAAATTTTGCGTAATTTCTGAGTTTTAATACATGAATACAAATAATCACTGTGGTTGAGGTAAATCATGCTGGAAATCAGAATAATATCTGAGAATAAACTGAACTTTTAAAGCAGTATGTACACAGAAATATGCCTATTTTTGGATGGGAGAAATTAAACTGAAAAAAAAAAAAAAAACTTTCAACCAGGGAACTAACTTAATAAATTCATCCTCTTCCTAGTGAGTGGATATGAGTATGACTTTAAATGTCAAAAGTCTTATTGCACGAAATAATAAAAATAAACAGAAATCACTTCGAGCAGAGAAAAACAAACCCACCATCTCCTGTGTAAAGCAGTAGCACAGAGGCTGATAACTTCACACTAGTTTTTATTTATTCTTTGCTCTACCAGACAATTCCCACAGTGAGTTTGAATATTTTTTAGTCAGGGGAGTTTTTGCCCAGAGGGGAGCCTGTTGTACATGTTTATAGTGGTAAGAGAAACCAGAGCACCCAGAGGAGTCCTCACAGGCATGACAAAAACATACAAACTCCAAAGTCAAATTTTGCACGCAGTCAATTTGAGTTTAAAGGGTTTGTACCTGATTTTGAACCAACATACTGAATGAACGGTTAACCCCGCCCTCTTAGCTCCTTCTCTGACTCCATGACAGAGAAACTTTCCGGGACAGATCTTCAGCAGCTACTCTGATTGGATAAAATTGTCTGTCCATGGCATTTGCTTCCTTGTCTATTTTTTACTCATAAAACTGCTTTTACAACACGATTTTGTTGTTTGGTTGAAGAGCTAAAAGTGAGGAACAGGCCCTTAAGTTCAATTTGACATGATGTTCCAACTAAACTGCTCCAGACACGGTTTAAACAAAAAAGAAACGAAAGAAAGGAAAGTCCCCGTAGAGAAATTTGTCCTCTCCATTTGACCCATCCTGCACTGCCAACTGGAGTGCCCGGAGGAAACCCACCCAGGCACAGAAAGAACATACAAACTGCAAACAGAAAGGCCAGAGATCGAACTAATTCTTCTGGTTTTAACCTATTGTCATGCGAGTTGAGAAGGATACATTTGTAAGTTTTATTCTCTTCTCTTTCTGCAAAGCCAACCAACAACCAGCTACAAATCACTCTTAATACGTCAGGCAATGATCTATTTGTCCGGATGTGATGGAGAGGCTTAGTCAGAATCAAAAAAGTCAGGTATTAAAGACAAGCTAAGACTGCAAATTCAAAGCTAAATAGTGCCAAGTGATTAGACCTACCTATTGAGGCTCAGAATGGAGCTGAAGGGAGATTATGACTATTACAGGGATAATTGTGCAGAGTCCTATTGGAGGCCTGGCAGTGGAAGACGTCCCAGTTGGACGGTTGGAGCCAGAGGTGCAGACAAAAGGGCTATTTTAGACTGTGAGACGAGTGAATGATGTGAAGTCTCATTACAGAGAAGCACAGGGCCAGACAGGAAGAGAGTGGACAAAAGTGGTATAAGTATCATTGGATTTCAATCATGTAATGTCGGAGAAGTGTGTGCTCTTGGTTAGGAATGAAAGTGAAATTGCAGCTGATGGGTCAAACGCAGAGGACAAAGTTCTCTATCTGGACAATAAAGTCAGCTAATGCATAGATGGTGCGTCACTAGCACGATTCCATGGAAACAGGAAGTTAAAACCTTACTTTAAAATACTTCACGAAAACAGATACGTTTTACAGTCATCCCTCGCTATATCGCAGTTCACCTTTCACGGTCTCGCTGTTTTGCAGATTTTTTTGTGCAATTGTGCATGCTTGTTTTTTTTTTTTTTTTTTTTTGTGTCCCTCTCCCTGCATCCTGATTATGGGCGGGTAGTGATTATATGCGGGTGGGTCAGGACTAAACCAGGTAACTAAACCAGGACTAAACCAGGACTACACCAGAAATAAACCAGGTCTAAACCAGGGCTAAACCAGGGCTAAACCAGGACTACACCAGGACTACACCAGAACTAAACCAGGGCTAAACCAGGGCTAAAACCAGGGCTAAACCAGGACTAATCTTGGACTTCAGAGTGAAAAGCACGTTTGGGCAATGGCCACGATTAGCTCCATGAGGTGCGGAGCTCTGAGCCCGGTCCTTTCTCCTGCTGTCACCCCTGAACCCGTCCCAACAGTGAGTTCTGGTTTAGTCCTGTTTTAATCCTAGTTCAGTCCTGGTTTAGTCTTCCTCTTTAGTCCTGGAATCAGTCCTAGGTTAGTCCCGGGTTAGTCCTGGTTTAGTCTTGGTTCAATACGTGGCATATGCAGCGCAAAAGTTTGAT